CTAACAATTTTGTCTGCTAGTTCTATCAATTTTGTTTCTATGAGTACCTGTACTCTGCCTTTTGGGTATGTACTTCTTTCTTTTGTCTCCTGGTTTGTCACCTAGTTCTCTCAGTTCAGCTCTTCACCTCAAGGCTGCTTTGTCTCATCTCTGTTATGACGCTATATTGGACTGGTCCCTTTCTAATTCTCTGTAAATCTCTACTAACTTAGCTACCTGAAATGCTACAAGTAGACACACTCTCTGCACATAAACTTTCTTTTGAGACAGTTAACCCCAACCGATTCAGAATTAACAGTTACTTCTCCGTAATGAAGTACCACTTATAAAATATCCCCCATGTTATCATACCTTCTTATACATAACAAATATGGGTTACAGTGTTTTATTTCCCAAAGTTTTTTTTTTTTTAAGGACAGAAAAATAGCTCATGGCCATGCACTTGTTCAGTGTACAAGCGGCACTAGGTTTCATCTACAGCACCCTCTCAAAAAATATAGGAAAACCTCTTAGCCTTGGTATGGTCTACAGGATATTTCCTAACTGCTGCCTGGCTTCATGTTAGTGCTAATAGAAACTATTGCAGGACTGGTTCCTTTATTTTTCTGGCAAGGATCTGCAATAGTTCAGAGATCTGCAATTTGTCATAGCTAAATCTTGGAAACAATCTAAATGCCCATTATCTGAATAATGAATAAAAAGGACATGTTGATTTTATACAATGGAATGTTACTCATATATATATATATATATATATATATATATATAATTTTAAAATATATATATATATATATGTTTTAGGCTTTTATAGGTAAATAAATGCAACCACAGATGTACTCATAAGAGAAATAAATAAGACACACATGTATAAACTTCATATTGTCTCTCTAGCATAAGAACTTGGAAGAATTAATAGAATATGAAAGGTACAATAGATACTGGTGAAGGGAAAGAAACTTTTCAAAGGGAAGGAACACCTGGGCTGAGGAAAAGTTGAAAAGAAAGGAGAAAAAAAAAATATATATATATGTATATACACATGTTAGCTTGGATAACTGCACTACTGATTTCTACTTGCCTGCTGAAAGGAACAGTTAAAGCTTATTTTTGTTTTTCTTCTTTTTAATTTCTTTGACCAATTTTACAAGCTTATATCTAATAATCTGAACAACTAATTTGAAGACAATAATGTCCTATATAGCCAGCATTGTTGACTTTCTATCATTTCATTTGGTAAAATTGTGTATCAGTTTTATTTTTTACTACTTTGTATCTTATTCCCTTTAAAAAATAAAAAAAGAATTATTTTAAAACACACCTGACATTAAGGGACATAAATGAGTTACACAAGCTTATAGTTCTCATGTAACAAATTTAACAAAAGTTTGCAACATGATTTAGAAAGACTAAAATAACACCATGGTGTTAAAGAGATTTAAAAAATTAAATAATTACTATAGTATGATAAATTATACATTATCTCACATAAACACTATCTTTTCCACCTTTGTAGCTGTCTTGGTTATTTTTCTCATTGCTGAGACAAGACAAGTTAAGGCAGGAAAGTTCTATTTTAGCTCTCACTTTGTAGAGAATTCAGTCCACAGTCAGTGGCCTCCAAGGCATGGCAGTATGACAGGGGCCATCACAGAGGAGAATTAGTCCATGGTGTTGCAGGACAGACAGAAGGCAGTAAGCAGCAGCAGCTGCTGCAGCAGAAGTAAAAGCAGAAACTCTATCAGCATCAGTCCTGCCTTCTGTCAACTTATACTCCATCCATGCTACAAGGCTACTAATGGGTGCCCTCTACACTCATGGCAGGGCACCTTTAGTCACAGCATCATACCCTTGACTCACATTCGGATACTCTAACCTAGCCTAGTTGGAAATTCATCAACCTCGTGAGGCTGTGGGAGGACATCTAGATACAAGTCATAAATGCATCAAAAATTGATTGCACCTTATCTGTAATTAATAACAAATACATTAAAGAAAGACTTAAAATTATCTTCAGTAAACATCACCTTAACTTTAAAACTAACACAATTTTTGCTTAATCCTTTATTTATTTATTTATTCTATGTTTAGGGAAGGATCTACATGGTGTTCAGGGTCTCAATACAAGATTAGACTCATAGTGATCCACCTGTTAACAGTCTCCCAAGAGCTGGGATTACAGTGGTATACCACCACCCCCAATTGCCATTTTAGTGCACTCCAGAGGCAGGCCCGGTGTAGCCGGCCCAGGGATTAACCCCTGGCCTCTGTGCCTGCTTGCAGGCCTTTTAATCCACTGAGCTATTTGGCCGGCATTACTTAATACTTTAGAAGCTTGAAATATTCCTTTGCCACATATACCTAAAAAGGGACAGTCTCATAAGTGTTTTAGGTGATGAAGTTGTCACTTCATAGAGTTTGACAATGTCACCTCAAAGAGTGGATAAGAATTTTAACTGAAGAGGCCCATGTTCATCAAGGGTTGCTGTAGAAAAGCAGTTTAGGGTATTTCACTGAGACATACAGGTAGGTTTATTAGACACAGAAAAAAAGGACAAAGACGGGAAGGGACTTTGTCTCAAGGGGCTGAGGACAGCACAACTCTGATGGAGAAGATGGTTGGGCCTGTGGCATGCTAGGCTTAAGATGATCATCATCTCAGTTCCAGTTTTGTAAGGTGGATCTATAGAAAATGTTACCACCTTTGAAAGGACACTTCAGTTGCCATGACCTGATTATTTCTGCTTCAGGTAGCCTTGATTTTGTGGAGGCTTTACTGGAGTACAACATGAATATAGGTCTTTTGTTTTTTTGTTTTTTTATTTTATTTTTGGCTGGTTTAGAGGAAAACACAAGTCATCCCTTGAATGAGTTGCAGGTTAAGTAACCAAACATTTGTCACTTTGTCCCTACGGTGATCTCTGACTTTCTAAGGCATGAGCTAGAGAAAGATTATACTAAGCAGTCCCACATTAATGTTTGGCTACTCCAGGCTTTTTTTTTTTTTTTTTCTTTTTACCTTTGACTACTTATCTGCCTTATGAAAATAAGGAAAAAAAGAACATTTTCTGCACAGTGTGAAATTCCACTGTCTTTCGTATTTCTAATTCCAGGCAGCATGCTGTCTGCTCTAAAGAGCAAGAAAACAAATGCTAGCTTTAATAAAAATGGTAGGGATGAGTGCCAGGTCTTTCCGCTCATTTAGCCATTCCCAGCAATGTCATGCAGATAGCCATCAAAATACCAATGCCTAGACTTTTGCCCTTTGAGCAAAGAAGATAATAAATCATCAGAAATGGTCAGTAATTCTGTTTAGCTTAATATTCTTTGTATTTGTTCAGGAGAGAACAAGAGTGAGTGAGCAAGCAAGCAAGTGTGTGTGTGTATGTGTGTGTGTGTGTTTGTGTGTGTGTGTGTGAGAGAGAGAGAGAGAGAGAGTTTCAATCTAATTTAATTGTATATAAAACTAAAAATTAGACTTCCTGTAGTGTTGATATAACCTTTTTAAAGAGTCATGCTTTTTTCTTCAACTGTATCTTAATAATACTGGTATCCCAAGGCTATCTGAGGAATTCAAATGTTGTTACAAAAGTCTATTAGTAAGAGAAGTAACTTAGATTATTTGAATCTTAAAAAGCTGTCTATTCAAAATGATCTTTGTTTTTAAATGCTCAAGCAATTATTATTTTAGCCTAAACATATTTCATTTAACGTGTTCTTCCAAAAATGGAGAGAAACATTTGACTAGTTTATATGAAGGCTTGAAGCTTCTGTTTCTTCACATTTAATTTGAATTCTGAACTATAAATTCTTCTCAATATATTATGTCCCCTTAGCCTTTGTATTTCTTCAGTCTTACTGAAATAATTGGAGTGCTAGTCTCACTGGAATGGAATTTAAGGATCATCTTCCTTACTTTCAAGAAAAAAAAAATGCACTACACGATTTAAACAAGCAAGATTTAAGAGGGTCGGGGAGATGGCTCAGTAAAATAAGCACTTCCTGGCAAACACTAGGGTTCAATCCCTGGCTCTGAAAAAAAAAAAAAAAGATTTAAGTCAGTTGCCTTGAGAGACTGAACTCAACTCCAGTGACACAAGAGGGAAGAGAGTTATAGGACTTAACCTACTCTAGTGAGAAAGTACCTCAGAATACTGAAGAATCGCTTGGGCACAATAATGAGCCATTTGTTGTTGCTCATTGGTGCCTATCAGAGTTAGGTGTCTATTCTCCTACACAGTTTGGGGGATACGGTCCTGTGTTATTTGGACCCTATGTTAATTACTATACCAAATTCCTGAGATAAAGGCAAGCCAATTAGCTCAGCAGGTTAAAGCACCTGCAAGCAGGCTCAGTGGCAGGCACCCGGGTGCCCTGAGATGGCAATTGAGACTGGGCATTGAGGTGAGTATCTGTAATCCCAGCTCTTGGGAGGCTGTAAACACGCAGATCACTAAGAGTCTGATCTAGTAGTGAGACTCTTAACACGCTGTATACCTTTCCCTAAAATACAAAAAAAAAAAAAAAAAAAAAAAAAAAAAAAAAGAAAAAGAAAGAAAGAAAGAAAAGAAAAGAACTTCAAATTCCTGAGATAATCAACTGAAAACAAGAAGAGGCTCCTTTGAGCTAGTTTTGGAACTTTCTGTCCAGGCAGTTGATTCCACTGGTGTGGAGGCTATGCTGAAGAAGCACACCATGGTAGGAACTACAAAGCAAAGACAGACTTCTCAGCCTGTGTCCCAGAGACTGGAGCCCCACCACCTCCTTCAAGACTTGCCCCAAATGACCTGAAGGTCTCCCCCGAAGTCCCACTTCTTAAAGATTTCACCACCTCCAATACCAATGAAGTGAGGACCAAGTCTTTGACAGATGGGACTCTAGGACACTTCAGATCAAATTAGAAAAGGCCGTGTCTCCCTTGGTACCTGTATTTCAAAGGCATGAGACTCACGTCCTTGTGAAAGACTTCTCTATGCTGTGACACCAATAAAAGCTTTTTAGATTTTCCCATTTGACTACCACATTTTCTCCTGTAATAGATTTTAGAGGCTATGCTTATAGGATAGAGTAAAGTTGCCATGATCTGAAGAGGGAGGGTTTTTCAGT